CGTGAGTTGCACAGAATCTACTATAAAGGTTTGAAAAAATCCTCAAAGATTTCCAGATGAAACAAAAGAGATCATAAATGGCCTTGAGCCGAAGAGGAGGGTTGTGAGGCTAACTCTAACTGATTCTTGGCTTTTATGTTCCTACTTATAGGGAGCCATTCAGGGCCTCTCCCATTGCACCTTGCACTTGGCCCCTAATTCCCTGCTTATGTGAGAGTTCTCCCCACTCACTGTGGGACCTGAGGGCAGAAACGACCCCTGTTACATTCCCATCGCACGGCGACTCCCCTTCTCAGATGCTCAGTAAACAGTCACTGGTGGATAAGCAACGGGGCCAGTGGCTGACCGCCAGCATCAATGCTCATGTTTCTTCTACTCCTGTAGACAATTTTCCCACCAGGGGACACCTCCCAAAAGCAGGAGTTGGCTGATGGCACAGACACGGCATGGCTGTCTTCAGAGACGAGAGAAGTGTCTTCCACAGCCAGAAACCCGGGAGAGCTGGCTTGTTCACTTTTTTGCAGCTGTTGAGAGGGTGCCTTTGGCCTTTGCTGTCACGAAGGGCTGGGAGCGAGGAAAGCAGCCAGCCGCTGGTCGGGCACACTTGCAGGCCTAGTGTCACTCTGGGGATAGGACTATTAACACGTTAACGTGCCCAGGGACTGTACACGTGTGCACTCCCACCAATGAGCCCAAATCAGCAGATTTTACCTCTCTTCCCTCTGGCTCTTGCCTCAGAGCTAACGGAAATACTGCACCACTGACGCTGTCTGCCCAGCCCTGTCCCTAGCACTCAGTGATCCTTCCCAGGGGAGAGCACTGCCGTGCTCACAGCACGGTTCAAGGTTGACAACTTAATGCCTTCACAAGCAAAGCCTGCTGGCATTTTCATCACAGAGTCAGAACAAAATGTCTAGCTACAACAGACTACCTAAGCTTTGGAGAGACACAACCGTGACGGAGGCTGGTTCTCTAGCCAGCCCATGAGGAACCCGAACCCAGAGACCACAACAAGAGCCTCGCAGTAGCCACCAAAACCCGCTGCTCACTGTGTCACGTGACACAAGACCAGATCTTATCTGTAAGGTTACTGCCAGAGTTTGGAGAAAGATGAATTTCCTCCATTTCTTATTACTGAATGATTCTTAATAGGATTTGCTATGCATAATTTAAAGGATTTACAGAGGTAATGCCTAAATATGCTCTTATAAAAAAAATCAGACAACACAAAAGCATACAGAGTCCCCCTACCACTTCCCAGTCTCCTTCCCACTAGTACATTAGGATGTATCTTTCCAGCTAGCTATTTATAAACAGGTATGTGCATATACAGGTAATAGTCTTATTTAGTTTTCACATAGTATTTTTAGATATACATTTACATATACGTAATTGTTTTACACATTGGTTTTTAACTGTACGTATAATTTTGCAATTTATTTTTCAAATAACCCATGTATCTTGGAGCCTTTTTCTTTTTTTTTTTAAACATTTTATTTATTTGACAGACAGAATACAAGTAGGCAGAGAGAGAGGAAGAGAAGCAGGCTCCCTACTGAGCAGAGAGCCTGATACGGGGCTCGATGCCAGAACCCTGGGATCATGACCTGAGCTGAAGGCAGAGGCTTTAACCCACTGAGCCACCCAGGCGCCCCTTGGAGACTTTTTCTATCAGCCATTCTTGCAAAGGGGTGCATAGTCTTAATATCCCGTAGTACGTGAACCATGATTCAATGAACTCTTTTCCTACTAACATTTGGGTTGTGTCCATACGTCTGTTCAGAGGTGTAGCAAGGAGGTCAGTGTGGCCTGAACAGAGTGGGTGAGATGATCAAGAGGAAATGGGGGCCAGGGAGGGTAGGGAGTAAGTATTAGAAACGGAGTAAAAGAAATTAGAAAATTTGGAGCACAAGAGTGACATGGTCTGCCTTTGTGCCATGGCCTTGCTCTGGGGTTGGGGGGCATGAGCATGGGAGGAGCCAGCTGGGAGGCTCCCCCACTAATCCATTTGAGAGATGAGAGAGCCCTGGGCCAGGGCAGTAGCAGCGAGGTGAAGAGAAATGGTTAGATTCTGGATACGTTGAAGGTAGAGCCAACATTTACTGTGGGATTAGAAGTGGGGTGTGAGTGAGGAGACCAGAGATTATCATCTCCTTGATTTTGCCACGTGGACAGGCACAAGTTTCCATCTCCTGCTTGAATTTGTGTTTCCTTACCTACTAGCAAGGTTAGGTTCTTTTCACACGTTTACTGACTATCTGAATTACTTTCTCGAGAAGTACCGGTTTTCCACTCCTTTCTTCCTGTTAATGCATGATTTCCTTAACGAAAATCTCGTCTGTGGGGCTTTTGCTTGCTTATCCAAACTCTGAGGTTAGTTTTTCATTTTAGAAATACAGCACTGCTGAGCCCGCAGATAACCCAGGATTCTTCAGGCAAATCTCTTTACAGATGAGAAAACTGGGGCTCGGTTCAGGGAGTTACTCCAGGTCGCACAGCTCAGCGTGCCGGCCGTTACTAAAATTTTGCTTTCCTGATCACCACTCTATTTCACATTTCATCTACTATACCATCTTATTAGAAATCCTTTTTTTTTTTTTTTTTTTTTTTTACCAATAAACCTAATGAGAGCCAACAAAGCCATTTCTCCATGAAAACTCACCTTTGGATAGGGGATCAAAAGGAACGTCAATAAAAACATACTAGCCAAGCTAAGCCACCGGATTTGCACCGCTTTTTTTCACTGTAACCTTTGAAAGGCAGGGTGTCTTTCCTGCCTGGCCCTCCGGTCGCTGGGCCACACAGATCAATAATCATTTGGCTCCTTTCCGCCTCATTACTGTTCTAATTTGCCTTCATCAAATCCACCAAAGGTGTCAGTGTAATTTTTTTTTCCTACTCTATTAAACCAATCTTTTGGATTAAGGGAAAAGAGAAGAGGGATAAGACCGGCTTATCTTAGTGAAAAAGGAATTGGGAAAATCAGAACACGGCAAGCCAATTCATGCTGAGTTGGGCTTGGTCAGCAACTCAGCTGTCTCACTGAGGGCCTGGGGTCCTTCTAGGAAAAACCCGATGTAGGGTGCTGGAAACAGGCAAGCAGCTCTACTGAAGTAATAAGCAGAGTCACAAGAGGACCCACCTTAGCCTGATAGTTTTTAAAAGTAAGTTCTGTGTCCAGAGTGGGGCTTGAATCATGACCCTGAGATCTGGAGTCCCATGCTCCACTGACTGGCCCGCCAGACATATTTCAAAGCAGGAGGAAGATCGGAAAGACTGAAAGGATCCAGAGTAGACTGGAAGTGATGAGGGCACATACTTGCAAAGGTGAGTGGACACTTGCCAAAGCTGCTGGGGCTGAGCGGCGTGGGCACTGGATCTGCCCCCTTCCAAAGGAGCACAAAGGTCTTCTTTGAAAGAGCAGTTATGGGGCACCTGGGCGGCTCAGTGGGTTAAGCCTCTGCCTTCAGCTCAGGTCATGATCTCAGGGTCCTGGGATCGACGAGCCCCATATTGGGCTCTCTGCTCAGCGGGGAGCCTGCTTCCTTCCCTCTCTCTGCCTGTCTCTCTGCCTACTTGTGATCACTCTCTCTGTCAAATAAATAAATAAAATCTTTTAAAAAAATTAGGAAAAAAAAAAAGAAAGAGCAGTTATGCTGGGTACAGAAAATTTAGAAGATGTAAGAACACTTTAACCCTCTAGCCTTCTCTGTGCACGTACAGTCTGTGCATATACACTCTGTGCATGTACACTGTGCATAGAAAAACACCGGCTAAATGCAACACATGCGGTGTTTAAGCTGTGTTTCTCAGTTAACCTAATGAGCATTTTCCTCCACGTATTTAATGTCTGTATGACATGATTGATAGTGGCCATATAGTATATTTTTTTAAGATTTTATTTATTTATTTGACAGACAGAGAAACATTGAGAGAGGGAACACAAGCAGGGGGAGTGGGAGAGGGAGAAGCAGGCTTCCTGCCGAGCATGGAGCCCAATGTGGGGCTTGATCCCAGGACCCTGGGATCATGACCTGAGCTGAAGGCAGATGCTTAACGACTGAGCCACTCAGGCGCCCCGCCATATAGTATTTTATTACATAAAAATTTTCCTCAAAGAAGCCTCTTTTGTTAGACCATGTTGATGTTCCTGGATTTAGAGACTGACAGATTTCAGGTAGAGGTAGAATTACCAGGTCAGAGTATTTCTTAAGGGAAAAAAAACCCACACACACAAAACCAAGACCCCCAAAACCCATGAACATTTATTCTTTAAAAGAGAAAGATTTCAAAAGATTTTCAATGTTGGGGGGGAAACTCAGAAATACAGAAAAAGAACAACTAAACATCAACTATAATCCCACCATCATTCATGTTTTGCTATATGCCTATCCTTTGAGTTTAAAAAAAACAACCTGTAAACATTCTATACAAGATTACACACAGTTTCATGACAGACTTTTCTTATTATAGTATTGAGTATTTTCTCATATCTTTACCTGTTCTTCCAAAACTTAACTTTAAATGGCTACAGATTTCCCTTGTATGGTGATGTCACAGTCACTAGGATAGAACCACAAAGGCAGGTCACTTTTTGCAAAGAACAGTGCCTCTTGATAGAAAACAGTGCTCGATAACCGGTTCCCAAATGAACACATGAACTTCGTCAACCAACTCCCTGTTGCTGAAAATCAAGCTTATTGAGGGCTTCACTGTTACATTCTTACATAAAAATCTTGTGGACAGCTCTAATGACTACTTTCGACTTGACTCCTAGAAGTAAGTGATTGGGTCGAATGGTACACATTCAAAAACAGAATTAGGATGACCATATAGTCATCAAACGACATCACTTCTGGGAGGACAAGGGGATGGAACCCGGGACTACAACCACACTCCCACCGGCTGGGTGTCGAGTATCGGTTTCCCCAGGCCGAACACTGTGACTCTACAGCGCATATCCGACCTCGTACTGAGTATCTATGGAGGCATTTTTGGTATAAAATAATAAAGGAAAAAAAAAGATCTTCTCTTGGCTCCTCCCCCCGGTTTCAGGTTCCTGTCTCGGGGTCTAGCTTCCTTTCTCGACATCCACCAACACTCTCTGCTCGAGGCTGGATCCCTCAGGCCCTGTGCTGTCCGCTGCCACCACTCAACTCTGTCCTGTGCGCGATGAGGAGCCGCCCCAGGTCATCTCTAAACGAGTGTGACTGTGTTCTGATAGGACTTTACTTACGGATGCAGAAATTTGGCTCTTTTCTCATTTTCAGGTGTTACAAAATACTATTCCGACTCTTGACTTTTTCTCCCCAGCCACTTAGAAACGTAGAAGCTATTCTTAGTCCGTGGGCAGTACACACACAGGAGGTTGGTCAGCACTTGTCATCTCCTGACTTGGAGAATGTCTGGTGGACAACTAAAACCAACCAACCCTGGGGGGTCATCCTCACGGAAAAGTGGAAAAAATCACCAATTTTTCCTTTTTCCTCAATTGCCTCATTTTCTGCTTACTGTGAAAATAGAGTCGCATTATAGCGCTTCAACGATAGGTGCCTCACAAAAATAAATACAAATTAGAGAACTTAATGGTGTAAATAATTTTCCTCACCATCCCAATCAGCACATCTCTCAAGGGAGTGTGGGCTGCGAGACTGGGATCTGCATTTCTCTTGGCGGGACCATTTCCACAGGCTTCTCACAGCACACATATCTCACTTTGTGGGGTTTGAGTTTATAGTCTGAGTATGCACTTTTTCGGTACCACATTGTTTCTAAACACAAGTTAGCACCTTTGTCTGATACTCAACTAACTGAAGAGCAAACTATTTTGATGCTGAAGGATGGGCTGACCTACTAGACTGCTAAACAACAGATGTGGATTTTCAGTGGGTCCTGAATGATGTACACTAAGGGAAAACAAAAGGGATTTTTCCAGTGGCGATTTTAGTAATTTAAAATTATTTATTTAAAATACTTTAATTACATAAAAATTTTTCAGCATACACTAAGTTTTGAGGTTATTTAGATGTAAGGGACGAATGTATTAATTTTTATTTCTTAAAAAACAAGTATCAAAATATGAACTCAATATACAATGTTACTAAGAAGAAAAAAGGGAGGACAGAGACATGCAGACTCAGCAAGTCTTGTCTCAAGCAGCAGGTATTCAAGTGGCTTCTAGACAGTCGTTCACACTGACAAAAGGCGGTGTTTCTGGGTCCATGCAGTAATAAAATACTGACACCATGTTTCTAGAAAGGAGCACTAAATTCCCATTATCAACTGAAATGGAAGTTGGGAGTAAATACTATTTTCATGTCACGGATGAGGAAACTGAGGCCCAGAGAAATGTAAAGCAGCTCACCTAAGGGTATGGTGACTCGAGCTGGTGGGGGTACAAATATTAAAACTTGGTGCGTCATGCATTTCCCAAGCTGCCCACAATCACAAAAGATAGCAGTGACTAGAATATCAAAGAATATTCTCTCCTGTGAGATAATCACAGAGAATCCTTAGGGCAGAGCGGGATGGTAAAGGGCAGAAACAGCTAGAGGGCTTCAACAGCACGAATGACGCAGCAAGTAAAAACAGGGAAAAAAAACCTAATCCCAGATTCACTAACCCTCGAAGACAGATACAGATCTTTAATTTAAAAGAGAGAGTTTTATTCATGGAGAAAACAGTTACAGAACACCCTTGGGGCTTTTTTAGTCCAACAATTAAAACTGCATTAAAAAGCCAACACGAAGAGTTTAGACCTAAAGGAAATCTGGAGAAACTACCGCTCCTCTTCCTGGGGCTTTATATATATTTTATCTTTTAGGTAAGAGAGAGCTGTGATTAATTTCTTTCCTAGGAGATGAGGTTTCTAGTTCCATTGTCTGAATGTGTATAGGATTTTTCTGTGAAGGCCAGAGAAGACGGAAGAAAAGATCACTGGATGGCTGGAAGAATGAGGATGAGACTAATGACTGGTTCTTGGGACCATGATTTTACCACAAATCATTAGATGGGGTAGCAGGAAGGGTGTCAGGTTTCCCATTAATAAAATCTGAGGTATTGAAGGCTCCAGTAACATGGCAACTCACTTCTGCCTCTCTCAGCGGTAACGGCAGAGGCTGGGAAGGCTGTTCTGGCTGCTGCCTGGACTTCTCACATACAAGAGCTAACATCTAACCAGACTGGACCATGTCCAACACATCTCTGAGTAAAGTGGCTAGCTGCTTTACTCTTCAGGATGGGTTCCAAGGCAACACTGTGATCCATGATGAGTTTTTCCCTGTCTCTGTTTTTGGCTTGTCTTGATGCTAAAGTCTACGGCAATACAAGAAAGCATGGTCATCTACTGTGAGACCTGCCTGAGGAAAAGAACGGGCTCCCCAAGTCTCAGCTGTCAGGGTTTAATTTCACTCGTTTTACTTGGCAATTCTCATCATCCAGGTGGCAGAAACCTTCTGTGGTGATGTCTCTTTTCTTCTCCTCCATGGGTTCCACAGGGAAGTCCTGGTCTGTGGCCAGTACCTGTCGGACAGTCATGTTCACACGAGCGGTCTTCAAGTAGCTGGTGCACACCTGCCAGTCCTCCTCGGAGCAGGGCTCTACCACGGAGTCTCTGGGGAGGACGGTGGGCAGAGGCGTCTCTAGGCAGCATGGCAGGCTCTCCCCCTGAGGACTTGGAAGGACCCTTGGGACCGCATGGTTCAACAGGCGGCTGGAACCTGACATTACCATGATGTCACCGCTGTGCATGAACATGGCTGTGGGCTCCTCATCTCTTTTGAGGCCACCCAGGAGAAAGATGGCAGACTGTCCAAAGCTATAAAAAAATAAGTAAAAGAACACGCAACAGTAAGTTTCTGTTACTAACCAAGGCTGGGAAAGTTACTGCCAACTGCATTCTTCTCGTATTTCAGCTCAACACCTACTGCTCTCACATCCTTCTTTTTAATCTGTGTTAAGAGCCTTCTCTTCCAGCTTGCATCTGTAAGTGACCAACCCATGATCTGCTGCTTAAACTTAGCAGAGCCCACAGGACTGCTGCAACATAAAATTTGAAGCGCTTAAATAAGCAGATTAAAAATTTAGTTTTACTATTACCCATCTTTAAGATTTAAGCCTTCCAACAAATTGAGTCCTTTTCTATATTTATCATGCCTGTTCACTTTTTTTTAAGATTTTATTTATTTATTTGAGAGTGAGCGAGAAAGAGAGCACATTTGCAGGGGTAGAGGGAGAGGGAGAAACTGACTCCTCACAGAGAAGGGAGCCCGATGTGGGGCTCGATCCCAGAACCCTGGGATCCTGAGCTGAAGGCAGACACTTGAATGACTGAGCTCCCGGCCTGTGCACTTTAAAGATAAGGCAATTAATAAAGGACACTGTTCAGGCACTTTCTCTGCAGGATACAGCTGCAGCACTTTGCCCAATTTAAACTCATGTCTAGAGAGACAAGAGAGTAAACTAGTCAGGCCTCCATACTTTACTCTTCCTTATTCTGAAAAGGTTGCTTGTCTTGCCTCACGGCCTTCCACAGACACTGACGATACCTTTCAATACAAAAGGGAGACTCCACGTGTCTTAAACACAAACATTAACTGTAATTTGGTTACTACTCTTAAGGACAAGGTTAATTTTACTTACGACAACATTGTTAAGACACCCAGAAGTAAAAGATGGTAGAGTCCAACCATTTCTTAAATGGTTTTTATTTAGTTAGTTTAGAAACGCTTTCGAATAAGGAATGACGTGGTAGAAGGTAACCAAATCCCTAGAACCAGCTTACCTGAAAGACAGCAGGGGTTTGGAGTGATCTAGTTCAGATCTATCTACGTGGATTCCCAGTGTGGAGTCCAATCTGTAGTAATTCAGGATACCTGCCTCGGCTCGGAAACCCCGAAACCCACAGGCTGCGGCTACTTGCTCTGAGAGGAAAGCCAGGTCAGAAGGGAAAGGTGTAGAATGATCGGCTGAGTATTTCTTTGATAGAAGTAGGGAAAATAAGAAAAATAAACAATGATCTCAGGAAAATAGGAACTGTGGTGCCGCATGGTGCTAAACCAGACAAGTCCCCCCTGCATGGAGTCTACACGTGAAGCAATTACTACGTCTCTCTCTGGTATACTTTAATCCCAAATAGGATCATTTTCATAGGACAAAAAAGTGACTCAAAACTGTCACTGCCAAGAGGCACATGATGACCAAATGTGATGTGTATCCTGGAAGAGAAAAAGGACATCAGTTAAAAACTAAGAAAACCGGGGTGCCTGGGTGGCTCAGGTCATGATCTCAGGGTCCTGGGATCGAGCCCCGCATTGGGCTCTCTGCTCAGCGGGGAGCCTGCTTTCTGCTCCCCTCCGCCTACTTCTCTGCCTACTTGTGATCTGTCTGCCAAATAAACAAAATCTTAAAAAAAAAAAAAAGAAAAAAAAAAAGAAAACCGAATGAACGCTAAGAAAATATGAATGAAATATGGACTTCACCACTGTAATAATGCATTAACATTGGTCCACTAATTGAGACAAAGGTACCATAATAATGTAAGATGCTAACAGGGATAACTAGGTGTGGGGTATATGGGAACTCTGTACTATCTTTTCAGCAAATTCAGAACTATTCTAAAATACAAAGCTTACTTAAAAAAAAAAAAAAAAAAAAAGGAAAGAAAGCAAGCAATTCTAATACAATAGCCACTTTGGTTTTGGGCCCCCAGACCACAACATGGCATGGTGCTAGTTTCACTGGTCAGTCTGATGGGATGACATGTTCAAAACATCTGAACTGAAACTACCTTACACCACGGTCAAGGCAGAACCTTAAAATGGAAGTAATTTCCAACATTTACCTTTCTGAACTATTTGTAGCATGTAAAGATCACAATACTCCTTTTCTCTTAAATAGAACAAAACAAATCAAAGGGCAGAACACTCACTCTCTCTACAAAACCCAGCAGCTCAGGGGAACAAGGTGGCAGTCTTCTTGGCAGACAAGGGCGAGGGCTGCTCTGCTCGGTAAGCCCGCAGCGGCCCAATGCCCCTTCTTTGTCTTGCTGTTGTTCTCACATCTCCCTCTGCCCAACAATCTCAAAGCAGATTAGCAGATCCACTTCTGTCTCACCTCTCCACTAGCACCCTGACGTATCCCAGCTGTAGCAACAGAGGCACACCTCTGGAGAGAACGTATGCACTTTGGCCAGAAGTGACCTTTAACTTCACATTAAGGAAGACTTTTGTAGAAGGTCTTTAATGGATGGCCAAGCCTTTTCAGTTGGAATTTCTGTGTTTTACGTTTTCTTCTTTTTCCTTAAGTGCACATATGAAGAGTTCCCATTTAATTTCCCCAAACCAGAGAACTATAAGGTTTTTCCCTACCCTTTCAAGTTTCAATCCCTCACAAGATCAACTGGTCAGAGGGGCACCTGGGTGGCTCAGTGGGTTAAGCCTCTGCCTTTGGCTCAGGTCATGATCCCATGGTCCTGGGATAGAGCCCCACGTTGGGCTCTCTGCTCAGCAGGGTGCCTTCCTCCTCTCTCTGCCTGCCTCTCTGCCTACTTGTGATCTGTCAAACAAATAAATAAAATCTTAAAAAAAAAAAAAAGATCAACTGGTCAGAGCTACCGTTCTAGCACTAGGTTACCTCTGTGGGCTTTCAACCCTACCCCCAACTGTCTATGCACTAGTCTTCTTACTTCTCTTTTAATTTTTGGCGTTGAGTCACTCAGTTTCTGATAATTTTTCACTCCACATTTTTCTTATTAAGTGAGAGTAACTTTAAGTCCTTGGGGAATAACAGCAGCAGCAATAAAGATAACATCATAAAAAACAATTAAGCTAACATGTATTGTATTAATGCATTTAACTTCTCAGAACAAGCAGGCACTGCTGCAATCACGACGCAGGCATTACACCTTTGACACTCGCCACCGTGCCCCCCCAACCCCATTATGAGGTATACACTATGGAAGGCCAGGTTCAAACCCGGGCTGCCTAACCCGGAGAGAATCACCTGGCTATTTCCCCAAAAACGGATATCCAGTCTTCTACTGACTCTGCATCAGTGAAAGTAAGAATTATGTCATGAACATTTCCAAGCAACATTTATCACTATTTTGAGCAGTTAATGTATTGTTAATAGGCTGATTTGACTGAAACTATGGAGCTTTTAGAAAGTTACTAGTTAGCAGGAAGATGGTCTATACCAATCTCTTTATTCAGTTTATTCTCAGAATGAGTCCTTCTATTTGGTGGCGAACATCTAACGGAGACAAGAGGCACTAGACTGCCCATGATAAAGGAGGTACTTTTGGAAACATGGAGGTCGGGAATGAAGAAACTGTACCTCAAGAAAACACCAGACTTTGTTAACTGAAGGACATTCTTTCCTATCTGTGTGTTGCTCAGACCTTATACAGCAGGCAAAGGTGCCTTTTGTGAGGTAGTGGAGAACACCAGAAGCATATGGAGCTCCTTCTACTCCAAACAGATATTAAACAATAATGGAAATAAAGGTTTTAATTGAGAATTGCTCTTGAATGCAGTAAAGAAAAATCTGTACCCTTAAAATGTTAAAATGTACTTAAGAGAAAGCACCAATGACTTCTGATGAAATAATACAACGTAAGAGCATATGAATTTTCTCTTGGGGGAAATTATTCATTCTTCTTGGGACACTGTTATCAAGAGGATTTTAAGAGATAAATGAAAGAGATCCTTCCACCAATGGATAATCTGACAGTGTACAGGCTTGCCCAGGAACATAACCAACTACTAAGCCCAAGGAGTTTAAAAATGAAGACAATGGAATTTGCAAGGAACTCTGCATACCTTACTGTCCCAGTTGTAATGGTAGCCTAGGGTGACCCAGCGCAACTTCTCTAGTAAGCTTCGGGGTCTCCGTTTATTCATTTCTTTGTTCCTGTGAAGATTGGGGACAAAAGAGGATTTATTCACCTCAAATGGGGGCAGCCAACAGCTCTTTGCATGCATGGAATTTGGTATTCCTTGGTATAAGCTGTTAGCAAAGACCTTGATAGGGGAAGTGAGAATAGCCAAAGGAATTGACCAAAATATATAACACTAAAAAACATGTTAGCATTTCTTTCTTCTTCTTTTTTTAAAAGATTTATTGTTTTGAGAGAGAGAGAGTGCATGTATGCTGGGGAGGGGGGGCAGCGATGGCAAGTGGGAGGGGTAGAAGGAAAGAATCCCAAGCAGACTCCGTGCTTAGCAGGGAGCTGGGCCAGGGCTCAATCTCAGGACCCTGAGATCATGAACTAAGTCAAGATCAAGAGTCGGGCACTCAACCGACTGAGCCACCCAGATGCCCCCATGTTAGCACTTCTTAGTCCTTGGTTCTAAATCCTTTGCTGAATGGGATCAATTTTATTATTATTTTTTGAAGATTTTATTTATTTATTTGTCAGAGAGAGAGAGAGAGAGAGAGAGAGAGAGAGATAAAGCATAGGCAGGGGGAGGGGGAGAGGGAGAAGCAGTCTCCCCACCGAGCAGGGAGCCCAATGTGGGGCTTGATCCTGGGACTCCATGGTCATGACCTGAGCCAAAGGCAGATGCTTAACCAATTAAGCCACCCAGGCGCCCCCATGTTAGCATTTCTAATTTTTAGTCCTTGGTTCTAAAACCTCTGAATGGGATCAATTTTAAATGGCAAGTTTCCACCATCTCAGTAATGATAAGAACAACACAGAAATATCTTTACCTGTCCATTGGAAATGGGACCAAGGGCACTACAGGTAATTGAAAATTTGGCTAACAGAACATGTTCAATTTGGTCTGCTGAAAGTGAGGTATGATTAATTATAGCTATCACTATGTTTATAACAATGGTGGCTTCCCAGAATTATAGGTTGGGGGGAAAAGTCTGGCAAAATATACATTGTATACAATAAAAAATAACTGGTTTAACATGACTTCTTCAACCCTGTCTAACATAGCTTAGATAATTGAGGCTTAGCTAACAATTAAGGACCACTGTAATTGATCTGGTTTCTGACATCCCCTTGTTCAAACACAGGAGGCTTCTGTAAAACAGAGAGGTGCCCTTTTTGCAATTATATCCTGTCTGATCAAATCTATGGGATTAACTACTCTTCTTCTAGAGGAAGAAGCTTCTTTGATTTACCTCTAAATATCTAAAAATACAAGAATGCCAGGCCTAATAATTTTAGGGTTTGTTTCTCCTATGCAATTTATATCAGTAATCAAACAATTTTTTTTGGTTCAAGAACCACTGCTGTTTAAAAAAGAAAAGATTAGACTGCTTTAAGGAATTCACATTTTGACAAGAGATGACAGGTAAGTATAAGAAAAAAATCAAAGGAAATTCCAAGGCAGTATAAAATTTGTACTAAACTGTATAACATGAGACTTTGAGGGCCACTGGAATTAAGAAAAAGTTAGCTGTCTAATCAGTTAAGTCCTCATGGCAGAGTTGGGAGTTGAATGTGGCATTGAAGAATGGCCATCATTTAAACAGAGTGGAGCAGTGGGCAATACTGGTGTACCACATAGGTAGAGGCAAAGGCTTTATTAGAGGCTCAAACTGCAAGTGGCACTCGCCTTGATGTTTGAAAGAGTTTACAAAATAGATGCTATCTGTCCTCACAAAGTTTACAGTCTAAGGACATTGTGACACAGATACACATCAAGGCCAGTAGCTAAAAAGGAATGGAAAAAATACCGACTGACTGAGGAGAGCGGTGTAGAAAAAAGGCAGAGCCTCTGAAAGGTCTGTTTACAAGGTTGGTTGCTGGCAGGCATCTGGAACTTGGACTCTGGGGAGGTTCACACCATTCCCAACACTGCTACTCACTGTGCCTAAATTTTGTGCAAAACAGTATGGTTTATGTTAAATAGCTGTTTTCCTTCTGGGAGTCTGGAATTTGGTTTGTGTCACATAGAGACTATGGGACCAGCCCCTGGTAAGAACCTGGGGACTAAGTTTCCCTGGTGGACAACAATTCATGCATGTTGTCACAACTTACTATTGGGGGAATTAAGCACACCTTGTGTGACTTCACTGGAAGAAAACCCTGGAAGCTTGAGCCTGGTTTTCCCAGGACTTTGCTCAATGTGTCTCTTCCCTTCACCTTTTTGGTTTGTATTCTTTGAAGCAGAGTAAGTCTTATCCACAAGGACAGTTATGTGCTGACCTCTCCCAGCGTATTATCAAAACTGGGTGTGGTCTTGGGGACCCCTGGCACAAGAGAAGACAGGTTATGATTAGCAGTTCAGGGGAAACAATATATATGCATGGCCAGTGACTGCTACTAGCTGATGTGAACAGTTACCATGTAGAACCACCATTCATTATTTTATTTTCTATGTGTAAAAACTAAAAACTGGGGGGTGGGGGGAAAGGAATGCATAATTACTAACACAACATGGGTTCTACCAATGTTTCTTCAGCTAAAGATACAAATAAAAAAACTCCCTAATGATCCCCTCCGGAGAACATAATCTATTTTAGTAGCCTTGAGATAGAAAAATAAGAATGACCTCTCATCTCCGGACTCCTGAGAATACTGTGGTTAACAGTGCGTAGCCCACTTAGTTTCTGCCAAGTGGTTTCCAAATTTTAATGCTCAGGGGAATCACCTAGAGGGCTTGTTAAAACCCAAATGGCTGGGCCCAGGCCCATAAATTCTAATTCAGCAGGTCTAGGATGGAGACAAAGAATCTGTATTTCTAATAAGTTCCCAAGAGATAGGGATGCTGCTGAGCGAGGGAACACACTTTGAGAAACACTACGCTAGCCAAAATTAAAAAACAAGATACCTTCCACCTTTCTAGATCAATAAAAGATCGTTTTATTCTTGATGAAAAACTCATGCTATTAAATCAAAATTAGATTGATCTAAACTGATAAAGGTAAAAGAATGCAGCTCTAAAAATAATTCAGGGGGCACCTGAGTAGCTCAGTCAGTTAAGGATCTGTTCTTAATTTCGGTTCAGGACATGATCTCAGGGTTGTGAGATCAAGCCCCGCGTCGGGCTTCACACTGAGCATGGAGCCTGTTTTAGATTCTCTCCTTTCCTCTCCCTCTGCCCCTCACCTCTACCACCTCCCCTAACATAAATAAATAAATAAATAAAATAATTCAGAAGGCGATGGCATTTTAGATACTCAATATAGTATCACCAAGCTGCTTTTCCATCGAGAGTCAGTCTAATGTTCCTTAGGACAGGGCATACACTATTACAATTAACACAGTTTTATGGTATTGTTTACAATAAGATCATCAAAATCATAGTAATAATCGAGCACAAATAGAAACATCCTATATTATACCTTTTAAAATCTGTTCTTTTAGAAAACCAAAAGAACATCTCTTTTCTACCTTAACTGTATTACTGTAAGGAAGGTTTTGGGCTTTGCCTTGTATTATTGAGGGGGGCTAGTGTAAGGGTGTAAAAGCATTAAGTCTAGGCCACCTAACAAAAAGGAAAAAATTTTAAAGACTTGTGTAGTGAAAGAAGAGCTGTGATCATTGATTACACCATTTGAGGATGATTTTATACACACACACACGTTTTGTGTAATGTGTCAGACCCAGGTAGGTTTAAGATTCCACCCCTCATTTCATAGCCTCTGAGAACAAAATTTCCTTTCTTTGTATGGAATTTCTGGTAGGAAAGTAACAATAATTGTAAGATTGGCCTTCCACATGTGACAGTAGGACAGGCTAACACTAGTCACTTCCTGTCTCAGCACTACTTAGGGACCATTCTGGTCCCTGTGGGCTCTGGGTAACCAAGATTCCAAAAAACTCAGTATTGAACACTGAATAGTTTAAGGCCAAAACCAAATTTAACCCATGCCCAGATGATTTTCAAGCAGGAAATACTGAGAGATGAATAAGAGGAGGGGGGAGAGGTGGGCTGTTCTCTTTTTAAACCTGACTTGTCTAAAAGGAGGCCAGGAAGGCTCAGTGCCAAAAGAGCTGCCATGTTCGCTCTACGGAGTGCAAGGGGTATGTCGGGCCTAACTTTAAATCTTTATCCAATTATCCAGAAGAATGTTTTCAAGCAAGTACGACCCTGACTATGGGTTCTCACTGCAAACAGAAACATACTCCGCTCCCTGCCCCTGCTGCAGCTCCAAGCCCTGGCAGGAGGATGACGGATGGGTGAGCTGGCCACTTTGTCCTCTGGCGAATGTGCCTACACAGCAGTTTGCTCACTTTCTGTCATGGATAAGTGCTTTGTGTAAGTACTGGTATTTCTCTCAGCAGTCATGTCCTCTAGTGCTGCTTTCAACTGCACCCTAACTGCGTGGAAATGAACTGCCCTGCCTGTCCACTCTTCGTGCAGGCCTAGTTTGAGTGTCATAACTAAGCACTGGGAATTCCTTTCCTTCCTTGCTTCAAGGGACGTTCGTGAATCATTATGAAAGCAGCAGTACTCACTCAGGGCAGAAAATGTCTAAGGTTGTTTATGATAAAAAGCCTTAAAAACCCCATTACAGATATTTGTTTTTTCAATCATTTTTTAAAGTTTTATTTCTTTACGTAATCTCTACACCCAGTGTGAGGCTCAAACTCAACGACCCCAAGATCAAGTGTTCCCTACTGACTGAGCCAGCTGCACACTCGGCTTTACGATGGTCTTTACATGTAACTGACAGATCGCCCTCTGACTTCACTCCAAAGCTCAGTTCCGTATTTCCAAAGGCAAATTGGACATCTTTGCCTGGCTACTTCAACAGGCATTTCAAAAACATTAATCCCCAAACTACACTAAGAATTTTGTCTCTGCTCCTTCTCTTCCTCTTCCTCTGGTAATCCTATTTTTAACTTTTAGAGGGACTTCCAGAGTTTTACATAAATAATCACAGCAGCCAAGACAAAGAAACAACCTGAGTGTCCACTGATGGGATGAATGGATAAAGAAAACATG